AGAAATGTAAATGATAAATCAAGCATTAAGGAACTGAGGATGCGAAGAAGGAATGGGCCTGACAGCGCTAACCCTTCCCTTTGAACTTTAAAGCATACATTTTAGAACGCTTTTTCTAAACCAAGTTTCCCGGAACCAAAGCCTGAGAAGAGTAAATGCTTGCAAACAAGTTACTAAGAAGTGTGTCAGGGAATTGCTGAGATAGCTTAGTGGACAGAACGCTCACACCCCAAGTGTGAATACCTGAATTTGAATACCCAGCTTTACATAAAACCCCGGCGCGGGGCTGGTGAGAAGGTGCACACACTGGAAGAGAGAAGTAATTCCTGAACATTGTCCTCTGAGCTCCTCATGAGCACTGTGGCATGTGAGTGCCCACACAAATACATAAATAGGTAAATAAGTGCCGGGCGGTGGTGGCGCACGCCTTTAATCCCAGCACTCAGGAGGCAGAGCCAGGCGGATCTCTGTGAGTTTGAGGCCAGCCTGGGCTACCAAGTGAGTTCCAGGAAAGGCACAAAGCTACACAGAGAAACCCTGTTTCGAAAAAAAAAAAAAAAAAACAAAAAAAAAAACAAAAAGGTAAATAAGTATCTTTGTTAGGATTTCGACTTGCTGTGATAAAAACACCATGACCAAAAGCAAGTTGGAGAGGAAAGGGTTTATTTCATCTTAGTGCTTATTTTATAGTCCATCATCCAGGGAAGTCGGGCCAGGAACTCAGGGCAGGAACCTGGAGGCAGGAACTCAATGAGGCAGAGGCCATGGTGGAGTGCTGCTTATGGGCTTGTTCAACTGCTTTCTTCCAGAACCACCAAACCAAGGGTGGGTACTGCCCACAGTGAGCTGGGCCTTCCCACATCAATTATCAATCAAGAAAGTGTACCACAGGGTTGGCCACAGGCCAATTTAGTGAGGGCATTTTCTCAGTTGAGGTTCCTGTTTCCAAAATGACTCACCTGTATCAAGTTGACATAAAAATTAGCCAATGCAATCAGTAAATGAAAAAATAATAATAGTAACACCCTGGCATGGTGCACATGTGTGACCTCAGTGCTGTGAGGGCCAGGGGAAGGCTCCCTGGTGCTTGCCGGCTAGCCATGTGTAGCTGAATCAGTGATCTCCGGGTCCAGTGAGAAACCCTGCCTCAAAGAAAAGGAGAGAAGGAAAAGCAGAAAGAAAAGGGTGGAGGTGGGAGAAGTGGAAAGAAGGAAGAGCCAGCCAGGTACCCAGCAGGAGACCCTGGTATAAACTCTCAACCCAAATCTGTTTCAAACTAAGGCATGGAGCTTCTCATGCTTGGTCTTCTACGAGAGGCAAGACGAGGATTAAACTTCCCAGCGTGCAGACAGAACACTGGACACGTAATAAAGGAATCTTGAAAAAAAAAAAAATTCCCAGTCACTTGCAGATTCTGTGCTGGAAGGGAAAACACTTGCTCTAGCAGCCCCCAGGGCAGAATCTCCAAGAAAAGACTCAGGTGCAGGCTTTGTAAAGGAAATGATAAGGATCTGGGAGGAGGAACTGACAGAGCACCTGCAGGAATCGTCTCTCTAAGGACTAGAGCTGTGGCGGTGGTGGCGCACGCCTTTTAATCCCAGCACTCAGGAGGCAGAGCCAGGCAGATCTCTGTGAGTTCGAGGCCAGCCTGGTCTACAGAGCAAGATCCAGAACAGGCACCAAAACTACACAGAGAAACCCTTGTCTCAAGAAAGAAAAGAAAAAAAAAAAAAAAAAAGAAAAAGGACTAGGGCTGTCAATAAAGCAACTGCCTCAGAAAGCAGGGTAGGTTCATAGGAAATCAACAAAACAGGCATCAGCCATCCCCAGCTCTAAACCACCAGAAATGTAACCACTGTTTGCAAGGCTTGTGATCATGATGACTCGGGAGCTGGAGAGATGGCTCAGTAATTAAGAGCACTGGCTTCTCTCTCAGAGAGAGGTCTGGGTGTCGAATTCCCAGCACCCACATAGCTGCTCATAACAGTCTGTGACTTTAATGTCCTCTTCTGGCCTCCTTGGGCACCAGGTACATGCTCATACACATGAGGCAAAATGCTCATACACATAAAATAAAACTACAATTAAAAAAAATGAAGAGTGCCGGGCGGGTGGTGGCACATGCCTTTAATCCCAGCACTCGGGAGGCAGAGGCAGGCGGATCTTTGTGAGTTCGAAGCCAGCCTGGTCTACAGACTGAGTTATAACTGAGTTATAGGAAAGGCACAAAGCTACACAGAGAAACCCTGTCTCGAAAAACCAAAAAAAAAAAAAAAAAAAAAATGAAGAGTGCTTGTTCTTGCAAAGGACCCCCATAAGAGGCCGCTCACAGCCACTTAAACTCCAGCTCCAGGGTACCCTCTTCTGGCCTCCATAGCACCTGCACACACATGGCATAAACAAACAGGAATGTTTAAAAAGTTAAAAATAAGCTGGGCATGATGGTGCACACCTTTAATGCCAGCACTATGGAGCCAGAAACCGGCAGATCTCTGTGAGTTCAAGGCCAGCCTGGTCTACAGAGCTAGCTCCAGGACTACATAGACATTATTTCAAAAAACAAAAGAGTTAAGAATCTCTCCCTCTCTCCCCCCTTTCTCTCTCTCTCTCTCTCTCTCTCTCTCTCTCTCTCTCTCTCTCTCTCTCTCTCATGGGCTGGGTGTGGTGTCACACACCTTTCATCCCTGCACATAGGAGGCAGAAGCAGGTGGATCTCTAAAACTGAAGCCAACAAGGTCTACACAGTGAATTCTGAGCCAGCCAGGGCTACACCCCGTGACTTTCTAGTCTCAAAAAAAAAAGAAAGAGAGAAAAGAAAGAAAGAAAGAAAGAAAGAAAGAAAGAAAGAAAGAAAGAAACAAACAAACAAACAAACAAACAAACTAACTAACTAAAGAAAATGAATGACTTGCCAGCTGACGGTAAGTCACACACCTGCCGTCCTCTGGGACCCAGACTGTGGCATGTTCAAGGTCAGCATACAAGGTAGGCTACAGTGTGTAGACAATGTCTCAACAACCAAAATAGTAACGAAGCCTTGCAATGTTGGCTCTTTTTCCATCTTCTCTCTACAGACCTCATCTTTCCTCAACCTCTTCCTTCTTTGCACTGCCTTAGTTCGCTGTGGATGGGTGGGGGGGAGCTGGCCACTGCCTTTGACAGCCCTGGTTTTGAATAGGAAATCTGTCCCTCCTTAGCCAAGGGACTGTCAGATTCTGTAACCTTTATGTAACCTAGGTTTCCCCATCGGAACCACAGAGACAATGACAGTAAGCACTCTATTCAGAGACAGTAAATGAAATGTGTTTCTTATTAGGGTTGCTGGTAGAAAAAAAACACTTGAATTTTTTTTAAAGTTTATTATATTTTATTTATTTTATGGGGCAGGGCATGTGCATACGGTACAGGTGTGGAGGTAAGAGGACAATTTACAGGAGTCTGGTTCTCCCCTCCTACCATGTGGGTCCTGGGGACTCTAACTCAAACAACCATACCCACTGAGCCATCTCCCTAACCCAGCCTTTTATATCTCAAAGAGAGTTCTCTGCTTTTCTCACCCCACTCCCCAAAAGAAGTGGAATAGGGAAGCTGTTCAGCTGGAATCTCTAGCTCACTCCTGCTTGATCTGGAAAGCCCCATTCCTCTCTCTCTCTCTCTCTCTCTCTCTCTCTCTCTCTCTCTCTCTCTCTCTCTCCAAACTGTGCCCTTTCAGAGAATCTCCAACAAAGGGAAGGCACCAAAAAGCCCAGTTCCGCACACTTGGCGGCTATGGCAGCACCTCCCCTGAAGTTGCCAGCCACCCAAGTCCCCACCTAAGCATTCCAGCTTTTGACCATACTTGGGCACAAACCCAGCTTGTGGCAGACATGTCATCACCCCTTGCCTACAGGCTATATAATCTCCCTGCTTTAGTTTGGGCTGTGACTTATCCAGCCTTGATCTCTGTCTGGGACTGGAGAACCCACCTGGTAGTTGCTTTGCTCAAATAAACCTATTATTTTATTTTTTCAGTATGTCATGATTTGGCTTACTGTGTTGGCAGAGAAACCTGTTATTGGGGTACAGAAAACCTATTAGAAGCATGGAATAAGAGAAGAAATTGTTCTAATTAGTCACAGATCTGGGAAAAAGGAAACCCTGTGAGAACAGAGAGGTAGCTGGATCAGAAAGTAGTTAACTCATAGATCTAGAGACACACAGCCCAGGAGAGAGGTGAGGATCTAGCCTGTGCTAAGCCATGAGTTCAATCCCCAGTACCAAACAAGGACGTAGGTCAGACCTGTAATCTAGGAGGAAAAGAACACGGCCCAAAGCCCCAAGAGCCCAGAGTGTTTTTAGAACATGAGTGAGTTCATTGCAAGTCCTCACACAGAGCCCTCACAGCAAAGATGACTGAGCTACGAAAAGGAAATCACCCTTGGCTTAGCCAGTGGAATACCTGACCATCACTGCCAACCACTAGGTGAATGAACAGTCTTTGAAACTGTGTCCTAGGAATCAAGGAGATTGTCAAGCTTGGCAGGAAGCTATCTTACCTGCTGAGCCATCCTGCCACCCCTGGCACCGTGTTCTTTTTTTTTTTTTCCATGTTCTTCTTAACAGCACATAAAACTAAGTATTACAGTTTAAAATGTTGGTTCATAATCTGGGTTTAGAGTTGGGGATACTGCTCAGGTAAACTGGTAAGCCTTGGATTCAGTCACCAGGAGCACATAAACCAAGTAGAGTGGCACACCCCTGTAATCTCAGCACTTGGGAGAGGCAAGAGGATCAGAAGTTCAAGGTCATTGTTTGCTACATAGGGAGTTTGAGACCAGCCTGGAATACGTGAGATCTGACCTCAAAACAAAAAAACAGAAATACACTATAAACTGGGTGCTGCAGTGTTGTACCTATAATCTCAGCTACTCAAGAGGTTGAGGCAGGAAGACTGCTTGTGCCCAGGAGTTTGAAGACAGACTGTATAGTAAAACTGTAAATAAATAAATAAAAAGCTCATATACAGTTTAATGCTTATTACATACCAGCAGTCATTTCCATATTATATTGTAAAACATATTTTTCTGCATGCAAACAAGAAAATGCTTTAGCCCAAAGGAAACCAGACCAGGCCAGGTACTGGGTCAGGATCAAATTCCAGGAGATCCAGGATTTGCCAAGGCCCTATTTCCTGTGGGCCCCAATTCAACAGGATGACACAGGTTTCAAATGAAATTAAAGCGTGACTCCAGTGGATCTGAGTTTGGGATTCTAATTTAGAAACAAGAGGTGGGAGGACACTGGATCAGCTGTTCCCTTCAAAGTGTCTCTCGTTCTATAACTCAGCAGGTTCCATCCACGGGGGATTGTCGGGGTTCAGAACGTTGATCTTCTGCACATCCTTGTTGTATACCGAGTGTGCTGGACCGAGAGGATGGTGCTGTGAATCCTCGAACACAGTAAGATGCTGCAGGGCTTTTTGTGGTGGGGAAGTACTTGACACCTTGGAATGTTAATGACACTTGCCCCTGGGCATTCAGGCTGAAAACACAGCTGGACTGTGTGTACCGCTACAGGCCGGTTCTTGTCAGCGCGGCTCTGCCCTTAGAAATGAATAAAGAGAGGAAATGCATTCAGGTTTTCCTACAATTAGGATTAGCCCTTTAAAGTATCCGTCCCCTTCAAGTGAAGCGTCCTAGAAAGACTGGCCTGGCTATAGGAATTTGGTCCTCTCTCCATTCTCTTCACAGGTAAAACATTCCAGTTGACTTTTTCCATCTGGTACACATCCTCGCCTTGGGACCTGTCGCCTTGGATTGGACACAAAAGGTAATATAACATAGGACGTGGCCAGATGAACCCTCTTTGCTGTCCATGTTCACAAGATCTCATTCCTTTCTCGGGTTAGAAACAAGCATCAAAGTCCCCAGTTGGCAGCCTCTTCCAGGAACTTGGGAAACACAGATCTCCTAGGCAAGATAGACCTCCCAGAAGGGCTGAAACAATGCTGGGGGCCTGGGAGATGGCTCAGTGGATTAAAAGGCTTCCCACAGGCTTGGAGCACCATGGTTAAGATCAAGGACTACTCTCACCAAGTTCTCGGCCCGACACCCAGGTCAGGTGTCTCACAGTTGTTACAACTTCAGCTCCAGCGGGTCCTAAGCACCTTTCTGCCTTCTGTGGGCCCGTGAGTACACAGACACAGACACACAGGCACACGCATGCACACACACACACACACACACACACACACACACACACACACACACACCAAGTAAAAGTTTAAAAATATATATAAATAAAATATCATTAATATGATAGTTCAAAGCTCAGACTCTCAGACAACTGAATGAATCCTGGTTTGACTTATGGTAAAACCTGAGGCAAATTAAGCTCTCTGTTTTTGTGTCTCATTTTTTTTTTTTAAATTTTATATGCACAAGTGTTTTGCCATGGGTGTTGGGCCCCTGCAACTGGAATTAAAGACAGTTGTGAGCTGCCACGTGGGTGCTCCCAACCACGGAACCATCTCTTCAGCCCCTTGTGTTTTCATTTATAACTGAAGGACACAAATAGCCTTCACAGGTTTACCTGGATAGTTAAATAACTGTGGAGACCCACAGAGTTTTCCTAGTGAGAACTTACTCAGGGTCAGAGAACCTGGACTTGCTTTACCCAGCAGGGCTGCATTATGGCATTGTTTGACCACAGGTGTGGTTACCAGGTGTTTGGAAGTGTCTACACTTGGCTGTATGGTATGATCTTGCAAGGGAGAGGTCTTTTGCCCTGCCCTTTGGCATTGTTATAAAAAGACCTTTGGACTAAAGCCTCGAGGCTGTTGAGTACTGATCCGGGCTCTCCTGAAGCTACCCGCTGTTTCTGTCTTTCTTCTCCTGGGCTAGGTCTCTCTTTCTATCTGATATTGCCTCATTCCTCTCTCCTCCATCTAAGAACCCTTTAAAAGGTGGAGGCAGGTCGGAGCTGGACTCCCACAGGCTCCCACAGGTAATGCACGTGAAGTGTTTAGCACAGTGCTGGACACATTAATCTCACTATGTCCCTTGTCCTGACCACTATTCTGTCACACATGTTTCCTGAAGTAGGTACAGTCATTGTCATAGTTAGGGTTTCTATTGCTGTGAAGAGACACCATGACCATGGAGGGCAACTCTTGTAAAGGAAAACATTTAATTGGGGTGGCTCACTTACAGTTTCAGAAGTCCAATCCATTGTCCTCAGGGCAGTTCATGGCAGTGTGCTGAAGAAGGAGCTACATCTTGATACCACAGGCAACAGGAAGTGGTCTGAGACACTAGGTATGGCTTGAGCATATAGGAGACCTCAAAGGCCACCTCCTCGGTGACATACTCCCTCCATCAAAGCCACACCTACTCCAACAAAGCCACACCTCCTAATAGTGCCACTCCCCTATGAGCTTATGGGAGCCAATTACATTGGAACTACCACAGTCATCATGGCAGACTCCACAGACAGATCCGCAGTACCCACCTTTACCCTTTCTGAAGCCAGCTGTGCTGGAAGTTACTTGTGGGAGGCTGCTACATGTCACCCGGCTTGTGCGGAGCACGGAATCTGGGGAGGGGAATGTGACTCAGATGCAGTGGCAGCCACGTGCAGGTGGAGCTGCCTTTTCGAAACCACCACGGTAGAAGAGCTTTGGAAGTCCTAGTGCCCAGCCCCCAGCACATAGATACCGACTGGTGAGCAGTGGCAGTGGGATTTCCGTGAGACTGTGCCTGTTGCAGAGAGAGTCTTTCTCCCAGGATTATGTCTGACTGTGCAGAATGTTAGTCTACTTTCCAGGCACTGCTGGCAATCCTATGATCTTCCAACTATGAGGCTGTAATCCCTCACTGTTAAAACTCAGGACAGTGAATTCTGTCATCGGCAACTAAGAGCATGCTGTTACCAAAAAGACCAATACAGTCATTATCAGAATAATTCTTCTAATTATAGTAATGAGGCTTTCTTTATTGTATATCTCCAGGCTTCTGGGAATGAAGAAAGGCGTGTATTAAAAACAAAAAAGTGAGCCAGATGTGGTGGCGCACGCCTTTAATCCCAGCACTCAGGAGGTGGAGGCAGGTGAATCTCTGTGAGTTCAAGGTCAGTCTGGTCTACAGAGTGAGTCCTAGGACAGCCAGAGCTGTTACACAGACAAACCCTGTCTCAAAAACCAAATCACAAACACAAACGGGACTGGAGAGACGGCCCAGCAGTTAAGAACACTTGCTCTTGCAGGGGACCAAGGTTCAATTCCCAACACCCACATGGTGGCTCACAACCATCTGTTGCTTCAATTCCAGGAGATCCAATGCCCTCTTCCAACCAAGCACACAGATGATGAGCAGCTAAAACATTTACACACAAAATAAAATGAATAAATCTAATTTTAGAGGCTAGAGAGAGGGCTCAATGGTTAAGAACACTTGTTCAGTTTCTAGTACTCACATAGTAGGTCACAACCGTCGGTAACTACAGTTCTAGGAGATACAACACCCTCTTCTGACCTCTACAGGCACCAGGTAAGCATGTGATGTACAGATATACCTGCAGGTAAAACACCCATACACACAAAATAAAAATCAATAAAAGTATTTTTAAATTAAAAACCAAAACAAAACATTAACAGCTTTTGCAGGGGACCCAGGGTTGCTCACAACTGTCTGTAACTCCAGTTCTTGGGGGTCCATTGCCCTCTTCTGACACACATGGTGCACTTTTACACAAGCAAGCAAAACACCCATATGCGTAAAATAAAAACAAAAAAATTTTAAAAAGAAATATGGACTGAGGCTGTTTCTCAGGGGTAGGGTGCTTAGCTAGCATGTTTCTCCACAGACCATTGAAAAAGTACATGGAAGAAAACAAACACTCAGCATAACAGAGTATATCTTTGAAAATAACAATAATCATTGGGCATGTTGGCACATGCCTCTAATCCCAGAACTCGGAAGACAGCGGCAGGTGGGTGTCTGTGAGTTTGAGGTCAGTTTGGTCTGCGCAGCAAGTTCCAGGATAGCTAGGACTATATAGAGAGACCCAGCCTGAAAAAAAAAGATAATAATAATATAAAAAAATAATAAAATAAAAAGAAAGAAATATCTAAAAGAAGTAAAAGAGCTAGTTAGGTCTACATAGAGAGTTCCAGGATATTCAGGGCTATATAGAGAGATGCTGTCTGGAAAAAAAAATCAAAACTAGGTAGGGAAGACGGCTCGGGAGTTAAGAGTGCACACTGCTCTCCCAGTGCGTTGGCTCACAACTCCTTGTTACCCCAGCTCCAGGGGATCTGATACACACTTCTAGTCTTCATGTCACTGTGCTCACATGCACACATATACATACAATTGAAAATTAAAAACAAAGTCAGGGCTGGAGAGACGGCTCGGCAGTTAAGAGCACTGGCTGCTCTTCCAGAGGATCCAGATTCCATTCCCAGCACTTACATGGCAGCTCACAACTGTCTGTAACTCCAGTTCCAGGGGATCTAGCACCCTTACACAGATATACATGGAGACAAAACACCCACACACATAAAATAAAAAATATAAAATTAAAAGAAATCTTAAAGATAGCCCAACACAATGCTACCATTCTTACAGGCACTTACCTATGTCCTTAACCATTGCCCTACTGCCTTAAGTGCAGATGCAGCCCTCTACTGTTAGAACCTTTAGCACAAAGCACTAAAGACACCCTTTTCTGCATCCCAGATATCTGTGGGATTTCTTGATTTTATGTTCTTGCTTCTTCATACAATCTTACATTGAACCCCCTCTGACTGAGAAAACCAGAACTGTTTGTTGCTATCTGTGATCAGGAGGGTGGATACATTTTAGTACTCAGAACCTATAAGCACTACTTTCTATGACAAATCATACTTTGAAGATATGATTGAATTGTGGGTCATGTAGTGGAAACAACCTGGGATATGCAGCTTAGCACAATGTAATCATAAGCTTTCTTCCCAAGAGACAGAGGACCAGAGGCAGTAGAAGGAGACATATGACCATGGAGGCAGAGACTGTCACCGGCCTTGAGAAGCTGTGGGAGGGGAGAAAATTGACCCTCCCCTGAAACTTCCAGGAGTCAATCCTGAAAACACTAAGCTACAGCAGTAACAAGAAACTAATGCGGGACTTGACTAAGCCATAAGCCCACTATTTGTGTTCTCCCTTCTAAAAGACAGAAAATAAGATCCCTAAGCATGTGACAGTGATTCCTATTATCTTAGTGTTATGCCCACGTCATGAGCCCCCCAGAGACCATCAGAGTCTGAGTTCATATGCAAAAGCAAAGAACCTTTATTGCAAGCTCAAGCTTGGGCTCTCTGTCCATTCCAACACAGCAGTTGAATCAGGGAGAGCCCTGAGCTCAGTTAAGGCAGAGTTTTTAAGGAGAAAAGGATGTGGGTTGAACTCCTGATTGGGCAGGAATGGGGCAACAGAAGTCTTGTCAAACAGGGATTAGTACTGGCGTTGCTACAAGGAAATTCACAACCTGTATACAAGTGATGTGAGCGATCCTTAATGTTCTGGAGCATCTAGTACTTGTTTGTCTCAATTCTGATTGATCTCCCACAGGTTACAGTTTGTGGCTTTTCCTGGTTATTGTAAGGGTGAGGCCTAGTTCTAGTATTGTTAGTTTGCAGCCTGTCATGGCTGCACTAATGTTAAGTTAAGCCACTTCATTAGCACTGTGGAAAGTTCCCATATCTGCTTTGAAGAGGTCATTACCTCTGGCCAGAAGGATCTAAGGTGGAAAGAAAAGGGGAACAAGAGAGTTCTCAGTGGGGCCACACTCAGAGAGAACGCCAGAAGTCTTTGCAGAGAGAAATAACTAGACATTATGATAATTTCACTTTTATTCATTTTTATTATTTTAATTATTAATTACTATTATTTAATTATTTTAATCACTGGGTTCTTGCTGAGTGACTGGCAAGGTGTTCTCCCCACGAACCCATAGTCTTCTGTACTGCTCCCAGATATTACAACATTAGACAGTATTTCCAGGATAAAATAGTCCTTTCCTGAATGGTCTCTTTGCCGGCTTTTTATTTTATTTTGAAATTATTTTTATTTTTATTTTTTGGTCTTGTGAGACATGGTCTCATTAAGTAGCCTTGTCTGGCCTGGAACTCACTATGTAGACCTGCTGGTCTGGAGATCAGAAAGAAAGAGAGAGAGAGAGAGAGAGAGAGAGAGAGAGAGAGAGAGAGAGAGAGAGAGATCCTCCCACCTCTGCCTCCTGGCTAGGATTAAAGGCACGCATCACCATGCCCAAGCTGGTTTTTCTTTTTATGGTGAGTAGAAAGGCCTGAGCTCATAATATGAGGAGGAGATGGTGGGGCAGCAGAAGCCATGGAAAGCGGGCAGTGGGAGAATTCCAGACAGTGGCAAGGGTCAGAGGTGGCAGACATGACAAGAGACGGAGGAAAAAGGAAGATGGCAAAGAGCTACAGCCTAAGAGAGAAGAGGACAGTCCCAGTGACTGGAAAGGCCCCTAGAAGCCCCTGAGGGCTGGTGAACACTGACGTCTGAGGTCCTGGCGCTTGGAGCTCCTGCGCCACAGCAATAGTCACTGTAGATGCAAAGAGTCCCAACCCTTTGGGCTTATCTGCTGTACCACTGGGGGTACTGACTGAAGGTGTCTGCAGCTCTTGCTAGTGGCCAGTTAGAGCCAAGGATTTCACTAACTGCCAACTGCAAGGTCATTGGCAATTGGAACCCAGAGGGGTAAGCTCGAACCTGAGTTCCTAGAGTTACATGTGTTATGATATATCGCACAGGGGACCCCAGCTGGCCGGGCCAGGGTATCCCACATGTACAAGGAAGCATGGTGGGCAGATGCAACAATGGACAGCAGCCCATGGAACAGTCACTCATACCTAGGGGCTGCATCCACGTGTAGAGTTTATTACAATAAAGAGATGAAGAGAAAGATAGGAAAGAGGGAGACAGGAAGAAAGAGAAGGGAAGGAAAGCGGAGGTGTGCACACCTCGTGGGAATGGAGAGAGAGAGGGGGCAGGGAAGAAAGAGGAAGAAGAGGGTTTTTTCCTTATAGTGAGGCTTTTCCATCAGGATGCAGGGCAGCCCCAAGGGACGGGTTTCCAAGGGGTGGGTCAGAATACTGACATTCCTCTGTTTTGATTATTATGTTATGGGTAGCAAGTGGGCGAACAAGAGTGCTGAATTCCTGAGACTGCTTCAAGCTGACAAGGGGCAAAGTGGGGAGGGGGACACTTGGCGGCGGGATCCAGGCGTCTGTTCCTTAAGGGAGCTGAGAAGGCAGGCAGGTTGCAGCAGTGATGTTCCAGGAGCTTGGGGGATGGCACACCAAATCAGGAGTATAGAAGCCATAGCATCTGCTGTTTCTCTGGAGGTCAGGCGGGAAGATTGAATCTGCAAAATATGCTCAAAAAATAGGTGGGGTCAGAAATGGACTCTGGAGATTGTTAGTTTTTTATCAGACCAGATTTTTTGATACAGTAGCAGAACTTCTCCCAGGAACCTGCAGGTATCTGTAAGACAGCTGGAATAGATTTACATCACAGCAAAAGAGTTAAAAATCCATAGAAATTGAAGGACTCTTAAGAACTCTTTGTAGTCAATGTTGTATTAGTTTATCAAAACTGAATTTAAAACTTTGAACCTCCAAAGTTATATCTAAAACCTGTACCGTGAAGTTTGTGAATGAGGCATACCTGTCTGTATTTTTAACAGGAAACTTATTAATGAGCTATCAAGGTGCTCGTAGTCTCGGGATGGGGCTGTTAAACTGATACATCTTAGTCATCAAACACTGTCAGATCTGAGAAGGAAAAATTTTAGAAGTGAGACAGCTTTTCTATCTTCATATAAACAAACCAGGGTATACTGAGAGCACTCAATAGTAAAAAGTTATATAGGAATCTGTCCTGTGAGTTTATCTGATCTGGTAACAAGGTAAATTGTGTCTAGACCTAGTATTAGCCCTGGGAGAGGGAGACCTGTGAATTTTATAGAGAGAACTGAGAAAGCAGCTGAGGCAAAGCCTGGCCATCAAATGGAATCAGAGATCTGAGAAGGATAAATCATACCTGAGCGCAGACCAAGCAGCTTTCAAATCCATTCAGTCCATACCCAGCTCTCCATATTGTCAGAACAGCATCAATCTTCGACCCATCAGGACCATAAGGTGGGAGTTTTTCCTGTGGAAGAGGGACATAGGGAAGACGGCTCTTACTTTGTCTAGGCAAAAGGAGTGCAATCAATTCCCCGATGTCCTGCTATTTGTGCACAGTCTGGGCCGGGTCCTGGTGGCAGGTGTCACAAAATGGAGCATCTTGCCC